GAGCAGGGAGTATGCTGGCCTCAGCAAGTCCCCCCCGCGCGCGTAGTCTGGGTGACGAGATCGCCGCGGGCTGCTCGGGGGGCCTGCCGAGGCCTGCCCGGACTCCGCACCTCGGGGGGCGGCTTGTGCGCAGCCCGAAGCTTTACCGAACCCACCCTTTGATATCCACCCCTTTCTGGTCCGACCCTGCTCCAAGTCCCTTATCACTCGTCCCCCGGGTCCGGTTTTGTTAAGGCGCCCTTCCCAGATGCTCCGCGCCCCAAAAAAATGGGTAGCGTTGAACAACCTTGTCAAAAATGGGGCTCAACCGGTATAACCTGTAAGATGGGGCGCCGTGGGGTACGCTCGAACGCACAAAAATGGTGCGCGATCAGAGGAAAGATGGGGCGCGACATGCGTCGCAAAATGGGGCGCAGCTGATCCAGAGATGGGGCGCAGATGTTTGGCGATGTTGATCTGACGTTTGGCAAACGTCAGACCAACGTGCGTGCTTGACCGTCCGACGCGTGTTATGCGTAGGGCGTTTGATCTGAGCCGCGTGTTGTTCATCATCATCATCATCATCATCATCATCATCATCATCATCATCAGCATCATCATCATCATCATCACCATCATCATCATCATCATTATCATCATCAACATCACCAGCATCATAACCATCATCATCAGCATCATCGTCATCATCATCGCCATCATCATCATCCTCCTCCTCATCATCATCATCGTTATCAATATGTTCATCATCATGTTCATCACAATCAACATCACGAATACATACTGCACCATCACCACCCCAATACTTGCATCACAATCACGATCAGCATCGGCATTGCCATCGTTACCAGCATCATCATTATCGCCACCACACATAGGCACCATAATCGTCATCACCGTCATCGGTCATACAGATGTTGAGAGGGATCGGGGGGAGGAGCGAAGAGGCAGGAGCGGGGATATGCATAATGCAAGTGATAAAGTGGGGGAGGGGGGGGGACCAGAGAGATTCGGATGATGGCGCGGACGAATTGAATAATGAAGGCGAACGAAGGAGGAGGAGGACGACGAGGGGGGGCATTTGTTAGGTCGGGGGGAGGAGGATGTGGATGAAACAGAAATGGAATGACAGGCGGATGAGGGGAGAGGCAGATGAGGAGGAGGAGGAAGAGGAGGAAGAGGAGGAGGAGGAGGAGGCGGGTGAAGATGAGGACGAGGAGGAGGCGGAGGAGGACGAGACGGAGGAGCATGAGGAAACGGTGGAGATTTGTTGTTGCGCCCCTCCATTGCCCGCCGTTTCTGGCGCGCTCCCAATCAGTCGGCACTTGGCCGAACTAAATCGAAATAGTAGCCAATTCTCCAACGCTCGCATAATTTACACGACAGCTGGAGCAGCGGCGATCCCATCATTACTGTACTTGCGACCTTACAGATGTGACGCATAAAATCTTCGGCTTGATAACACCACAACCACCTACAATTGATGTATTTAGTAGATTCTCCGATATGCCAGAAGTGGTGATGCTTGTTCACAATACTCCATTTAAACTTATTTTGCGATTTAGCATCCGATGCCAACGCACTGTAAAAAAACCAACGTGCGTTCAACTGCTGTCATGCATGCTTGATGCTCTTCGTCTGAAAGGTACATCCCTGCAGCCTCAATGATCTGATAGAACGTGTTCAAATTGGACGCACACGCGTCCCTCATCTGTCGCATTCTAGTACCATCGTTATACGATGATGCCAGCGCAGCTGCAACTGGAAGCAACGCTCGCTGGGCAGCCGCCTTGGTCTTAGTAGTCATACACGGGTAGTGTGCATGAGGGCTTTTCGAATTAGACAGGAAAAAATTGAGCCCGAATCGCCCGCACTCTGGAACCACCAGAAACACGGCTCGCAAGATGAAATGAACTTGGTCACACGTTCACGCCCTATTCATTCCACACCACACATATGATATAATTCACCGCACGCCAAACCGTCAACCAACGCAATGCAACCACACAGCCGTATACCATGGTCAAGAAACAGCGGCGGATCAGCGACAGCTGTGGGACGACATCCTATGCCCACGCGTGCCGAGATCCTTATATAATTCTTTGATCTTTCTCCACAAGATACCGACTGCATCGGTTGCTGGACCAGCGGTCTGTTCATACACTAGTTCGTAAAATATGTTTCCCAAGACGTGGGATGCTACTCCCAAATCGACAGTGTGCATGGCGTCGGGCGCCAGCGTCGCGCCACGCACCCCCCATACATTAAACAGATGGTGGTTGAACACGTATGGTTCGGCACGTGGCCGAGTCATCCACGGGGCACGGTCCTATGGCATGGATTTTAACAATGTCATTCATCCAACCAAGCCAACCCATCATCCTCCTTCCCCCATCCATCCATCCCCACGCCGCCACCTTGTCCTCCCTCGCATCGGTACCCACAACCTGTTCCACCACCACCCACCTTCTCCCAATTCCCAAGAGGGGGGAGGGGGTGAGACAAATCGTAAGTTTCAAAGCCCATGGGTCCTTCTTGAAATCATTCCATGGGTTGTCGGACCTGTTCCCATCGCACGCCCAACACATCTTGACTGAATTGCTAGACGGGGCTCCCAAATGGTTGGCGTAGAATTCGAGATCACCCATGATTGCGTATACCCATGCTCTGTATGGCGTCTGGCTGTCGCACAACAGCTCTCCTGCTAATTGGGCGCGGCGGGAGCCAGCGACGAAATCCTCATTGTTCCAATCCGCCGCCCACGACGAGCAAGCCCAAGCCATGGACAATACATTATCTTGAAGCGGTTTGGAAAACACTACGCGCCACAACGCAATGGATCAGTAATTGTCGAAACGTGAGGCGTTCGAAACCGAAAACCAGAATGGCAGCCACCGACAGAAGGCTGGCGATGTATTGGGGGTCTGCGGGAAAGGCAACGGCCGATGGTATCTTTGGATGGATGGCGGCCCTGAGCGAGGGCGTTCAAGCTCCAGCGAACGACTCGCCATATCTCGTGCCACGTGTCGTGTCCGTCGTGGTGTTTCCTCTTTGCAGTGCCACTGTACGGCCACGCCCCTATCAACAATGACAACTCTCGTGTCGAGCCCCGTGCAAGCAGACCAGACATCGATATAACCATCATTGACTCAGCAGTTAAGATCTCACCACCGTCGCCATGTATTCGTATTGGGATGGCGTGCTTCTCGCGGTCAGGGATCTTCCAAACTGGGTGTCTGCGGAGACGGGGGTCGGACCTGGAAAGGAATTAGACGAAACTGCAGACGCACACCGTGTGAATCGTGATGGGGGTAAAACCAAACCTGGGCGACGCACCTGTCATTGGTTTCAGAGCTGTAACACCGCCCCATAAGACTGGCACACGTCAGACAACCGTCATATAAACGTTTGTCTGAAGTTTCTCTGACGTTTGTCAAACGTCAGAGAAACTTCAGACAAACGTTTGTATGATGTTTCTCTGACGTTTGCCAAACGTCAGAGAAACTTCAGACAAACGTTTGTATGATGTTTATCTGACGTTGTCAAGCGTCAGAGAAACTTCAGGCAGACGTTTGTCTGATGTACCTCTGACGTTTGTCAAACGTCAGAGAAACTTCAGGCACGCGTTTGCCTGATGTTTTTGTCGGTCACACCAATGCGCCGTGTTGTCCAACGTATGCCAGACTCCAGAAACATGTCTGGGGCGCCACTTGCAGGCATTGCTTGCGAGTGGATCGCGCTGTCTACGCACGACACGTGGCTGGAGACATGCGACATCTTACGTTCAGCTCCCTGAACCTGCTCGCACCCGCCCAAAAGGCAGGCATGCGTTCCAACCCGAGCGTTTCTTGAAATTCAAGCCGATGCGAATGGAACAGGCTGCTGAACATATCGTGAGGCAGCATGCAATGACAATTATGCGGAATGACTTTCAAAGTCCCTGGCTCAACGCAGCGTACTGGGAACACTTCTGGTTTAGGCAATGTTATATCTTTCAAGTACTTGCGAGTTAAATCTCGATGAATGTTCTGCTGATGTTCGCCCCAGCCCCCCATGGCCGCGATGTCTGCAATTTCCTTGACGCCCGCCATCCCGTCACGGTACGCAGCCAAACAATACCTATGCACTTCAGTGCCATACAAACGACCCCACGCCCAGTCTTTCAGCATGAGCGTGGATAGAGAAGACGAACTGTTGCGCTCCTCGACCTCATGGACACTATCTGAATCACAGTCGCGGCCATCGCCCGAGCAGGAGGCAGACGCTCCCGAGTCTGGCGTGGGGAGACGCCGCTTGGCCGCTCGCCGCAACATTATTGGGCAACCGACAGCTGCAGATAGCAATCCTACCCCAAACGTACAGGCCTAACAGTCGCCACATGGGCGGACACCAAAGACTGTCACCATTCATTGGATGTATATTGAACACATGGGTGGACACTCTAATTCTTAATGTTGTCACGATCCTACACCGACAGTCCAGGCCCGAACAGTCGCCGCGTGGGCGGAACAACACATGCTATCATCAGTCATGACATGCATAGTGAACACATGTGTGTATATATATATATGTTAAACGTTGCCAAAGTATGGTACGTGTTACACATGTGGATCGCAGCAAGCCCACCGCTCGCTATGCTCCGAGTGCTATCCTCGGGGCAGCTGTCTCACGCACTGAAAAAATGCACGCAGCTTCGCCCACGCGGCCCAGAGCACTATGAGAGGGTGCATGCAATCGGGAACCATACGAACGCTCGTCCAACATGACGGATTCGGAACGCGCAATTATCTTCGCGCGCTCAATGGGCGAATTCGCCGCACGGCACATGTCTAGCACGGGCCGCGAGGCGCGAGGCACGACCAGCTTCGTGCATTATTAGGTTCTCAATTGCTGCACTAGTCAACGAAAGATACTATGGTCGAGGGGGGATGCGACGGCCACCCTCGTTCGGCGATCCCCGCCCGCCACGCCATGCGCAGAAAGAAATCGCTGCGGCTGGCACGTCAGAACAAACCCGTGATGGCCAAGTTCATGGACCTGGCCTGCTTCATGACGACCTGGCCGTTCACCATCATTTTGATGGCCGCCTTCGCGGGCGGCTTGGTGTCAGTGATGATGTCGCTGAGCTGGTTCACCACCGTGCGTGCGCCATCGAGCACCTGGCGAGATGCGCACACATAGAGGAATTGATTCGCAGTATGAGCACCCACACATGTAAAACGACATGCGCATTATGAGGAAATTAACATGGGAACTCACCCGAAACCGCGACGCACGTTCCACGATCTCAACACAAAGCGTGTTCTGAACGCCCGACAGTGGGCTGGTACCAGATGCGACATGCTGCACGTCGGGGGATGGGGGAGGAGGAGGATGAGGAGGAGGAGGATGCGGAGGAGGAGGAGGAGGAAGAGGAGGGGGAGGATGAGGAGGATAGAGAGACGGATGATGAGGATGCTGATGTGGATGAGGAGGAGGAGGATGAGGTGGATAATATGGACGAGGGCAGGAGGAGGAAGGCGCACCAAGTATTGGAGGAATGGCAGGAGAAGGAAGGGATGACGAATATGGGAGGAATAGGAATATCGGATGAGGGCAGGAGGAAGATTGGTGACGAAGATTGGAGGAATAAAAATATCGGGTGTGAGCGGAGTTAGACGGAGACATGGGCGGCGGGCGATGCAGTGGGGGGAGTGACACTCGGGGCGGGCGGAGGGTGCGGACGGGGAGGGTGTAGGAAGTTGTTTCACAACCATCCTGTGGTGTTGGGCCCTCGGTTTGAAGAGACGACGCCCCGCAGTCCTCTCCTTCCGTCCCGCCCTCCTCACTCCCCCCCTTGCCGCTGCTCTCGGCGCACTTCTCACGCGTTTCGTAGCCCCATAGGGGGTTCCACCGAAGGCACCAGCGGGGGTGTCCACATGCGGTTCCCCCACCCAGGGCAGCGCTTCGTAGCCCCATGGGGAGCTCCACCGAATGCCACAGTGGGGGTGTCCACATGCGGTTCCCCCCACCCATGGCAGCCTTTCTCAGCCACATAGGGAACTCCATCGAAGGCCCCAGTGGGGGTGTTCACATGCGGTTCCCCCACCCATGGCAGCGTTTTGTAGCCCCATAGGAGGCTCCACCGACAGCCCCAGTGGAGGTGTTCACGTGCGGCGTCCCCACCCAGGGCAGCGGTTCGTAGCCCCATAGGGCGCTCCACCGAAAGATGCGGTCCCCCCACCCATGTCAGCGTTTTGCAACCCCATAAGGAGCTACACCGAAGCCACCAGTGGGGGTGTCAACATGCGGTTCCCCCACCCAGGGCAGCGTTTCGTAGCCCCATAGGGAGATCCAAGGAAGGCCACATTGGGGGTGTTCACATGCGTTCCCCCACCCAGGGCAGCGCTTCGTAGCTCCATAGTGAGCTCCACCGAAGGCCCCCGTGGGGGTGCCCACATGCGGTTCCCCCACCCAGGGCAGCGTTTCGCAGCCCCATAGGGAGCTCCACCGAAGGCCCCAGTGGGGGTGTCCACATGCGTTTCCCCCACCCAGGGCAACGCTTCGTAGCCCCATAGGGGGCTCCACCGAAGGCACCCGTGGGGGTGTCCACATGCGGTTCCCACACCCAGGGCAGCGCTTCGCAGCCCCATAGGGAGCCCCACTGTAGGCCCCAGTGGGGGTGTCCACAGGCGGTTCCCCCACCCATGGCAGCGTTTCGCAGCCCCATAGGGAGCCCCACCGAAAGCCACAGTGAAGGTGTCCGCATGCGGTTCCCCCCACCCAGGACAGCGTTTCGTGGTCCCACCGTAGGCCCCAGTGGGGGTGCTCGCATGCGGTTCCTCCACCCATGGCAGCGTTTCGTGGCCCCATATGGAGCTCCACCGAAGGCCCCAGTGGGGGTATCCGCATGCGGTTCCCCCCACCCAGGGCAGCGCTTCGTAGCCCCATAGGGAGCTCCACCGAATGCCCCAGTGGGGGCGTTCGCATGCGTCTCCCCTACCCAGAGGTAGCGCCACTGAAACCGATATTCACAACTGCATATGGTTGGGCCCTTCGCCAGGTTATGTTTTGGGGTGAGGGGATTGTTGGATGTGAAGGTGGAGTGGTTGGGCGATCGATGACCTTCTTGGCCTCCGCGAGGTCACTCTTGCTCGCCCTGGTTTGATTGCCCTTGACCGTCGCCATCAGCAGGGGGACCATTGCCTGGCGACGCACACTCTGCACTGGGGGCCCTGGGTTGAGGAGGGTGCATGGCCAAAGGTTGAGTATGTATACGTTTCATACCTCTCCATCCCGCCAAGCGGCGGGGAGGAGGGGGGTGAGACACATCCCATCCAAACTGAAATTGGATGTTGGGTCATGGGACCACACCCGTTCTCAGAGTCCACATCTCGCGCGGGTGCGACCCATGTCCCCTCGTCCATCGCCCACTCACCGTTTCTCTACCACACCCATTCCTCTTATACGCCATATCATCCCCCTAGTGTTCCCCCCCCTACCCGCCTTCCATGCCCAACTCCCCTTCTCCTACGTGCCAATCCACCCCCCTCGCCCACCTACTCCACATCCCTCTATTGAGACGACGGCCTCGAACGTGTCGTAGAACATCTGTGCATCGCCGAGCACCGACAGCTCGTCACACGAGGAGCGATCCCACGCCTCGACGTCGGTCACCCTCTCACGCAGCTTGATCTTCGCCGCCTTGGCTTTGCTGACGGCTGCCGCGTCCGCCTTCGCCTCGTGCGCGGGCGGACGGGGGGGGGGGGGGCGTGCGTCGGGGTTCGACGGGCGAATGGGGGGGGGGAAACGGGGGGAGGGGGCGGCGGTGGGAGGACGAGGACATTGAAGATGGGGCGGACGGGGAGACTGGCAGGAGGGGAAGGAGAAAGAGGGGGCGGCTGGGAAATAGCGATCGAGCCGCGAGGAGCGATCGACCGAGAAACAGGGAGGATGAGCGGGAGATGAGGATCGCGTCCTGTTCGTACCCCCCCTGTCATCCCCAGACGTCGGTATCGCTCGATCGATTGCCCACTCAATCGAGCTCGCTTCTCGTCCCATCCCATCATCGGCATCATTGAATGCGCCGTCGCCTTCGCCGTGTCGCCATCCGCAGATGATCGGGCGCCGCCGCTGCGGCCACTGCCGCCGCGGCCGCGGCCGCGGCCACGGCCACCCTCACGACCCTTCTTGTTCATCAGCGGTGCGTCGGAGTCGGTGTTGTCGTCGTCGGACGAGACAATGCCCATGTTGCCCATGGACGCTTGTGGCGTTTGGTTGACAGACGTGACTCGGGTGGCGTCGTGACGACGACGACGGGGAGGGTTTGGGGGCGACGCCGCGAGTTTGGGAGAGACGACGAGGTGGCTGACAGGGGCGCGGGGCGACGACGCGGGGGTCGGCGAGAATTAGGTGGAGCGAAATGAAGAGGGGGGCTACCGAACGACATAGGAACCTGATTGGGATAGGGCGGGCATGATAACAACGAGGGGGTAGGAAACAACGGCGCGGCGTTGCGACGGCGCGGGCCATGGAGGAAGTGCCAGGGACGACAAGCGATGGAATGCGTCAACAACGCTAAAATCGAGTCCTCCGCGGCCATCGCCAAGGTACTTCGCCTTGCCGATGCCCGACGTGAGGGCTTCGAACTCGTCGTCCTGTAGCATCCTCTTACCCGTGGCCGTCTGCTTCTTGGAGCGCGACATCAGCTTGCTGAACGTGTCGTCGCAGTCGAGCCATTGTTTCCGCGCGGGGTTGGCAGGGTTTTTCCGCGACTCGGCAGGGTGGCAACAAACACCTCAACCATCAATCCCAGCCTGGTCGTAATGAAACTATGGTTCGGGCTGCTTTTAGTCGGCATTTAAAAACTCGGCGAATGCTTCACTGAATGCCCCCCAACGAGAATCTCCAGGGACGGGGGGGGGGATCGGCGCGGGATTGATGTCTGAGTCATTGGGAGGGCGTGGCTAGAGGGCGTCCGAAACATCCAGTGCATCCAGGAACATCAATGGATTTCAGGAAAATCAATGACGACGCATCCAGCACATCCGAGACCATCCATGACCACTCAAGGCGATGATGGCGAGGCGTCTCCGAAACATCCGAAACATATCCGAACCATCCAGGGGTTGCAGGAGCATCTAGGACTTCAACCGTCATCCAGTGAATACTCATCCACCACATCCGAGAACCTAGGGTAACACGCAGGGCAATGATGCCGTGTTGGTCCCGAAACATCATAAACGTATCCGAGACATCCATGGCATCCATCAACATCCAGGGTATCCAAGAACATCCAGCGAATCATCACCCATCGCCCCTGAGAACATCCAGGGACACCCAGGGCAATGATGCTGTGTCAGCTCCGAAACACCCGAAGCGGATCCGAAAAATCCAGGGCCTCCAGGAACATACAGAGCGTCCAAGAACGCCCAGTGAGTAATCATCCTGCACATCTGAGAACATCCAGGAACACCCAGGGCAATGATGTTGTGGCGGTCCCGAAACAGTGAACATGTATCCGAACCATCCAGGGCCTCCAGGACATACCAGGCTCTACAAACGATTCGATAACCCGAAGCTCCATCAACAGCTTGCCCTCGACCATCTCGGCGGCCTCGTCCACGCCGTACTTGTCCTCTAACTGCTTCAAGCTGAGCCAGCGCTTGTCCTGCTTGATGCTCTCGGAGTAGCCGATCGATACAGCGGTGTGCCAGAACGACTCCTCCATCTTGGGGTCCTGGTTGCCCGTCGATCATACTCTCTCTCTGCCAGTCCGTCCCCGCCCATTCTATACTGATCAAGTCCTCTGACCATGCCTGTCATCCCCTCACACAATCTACACACCAAATCGCATCGCTCATATAATCCACTCCGATCAACTCCCGTTATGCCGATCGGTCGGTTCGGTCGTGTCGACTATCGATCGGTCGGTTCGGTTCGGTTCGGTAGATCGATCGGTCGGTTCTGTCGAGCGGTCGGTTCGGTCGGTTCAAATCGGTCGGATCGGCTCGGTTCGTGTCGGCTACGCAGCGGTCCTTCAACCACGCCGCCAGGAGTTTCTGCTTGTTCTCGTTCTTGCGGCCGTCCTTGCTGACAGCAGCCTGGGGTCGGGGTCGCGGGGGTGGATACGAGGCGGGCGGGGGAACCAGAACGGTAAGTGAGACGATGATGCGTGGGATGACGAGAAGGATTTTGGGTGCGACGTGACACGCGGAACGGCACGACTACGAACATACGCGATGGTGGTAACCCCGAACGTGGATGAATAACCTACGAGACCGATTGGTATTGACACGATTGCACATAATGACAACGTGTGAGGGGGCCTCCGCGAAAGCAGCTTGCGCGTCGTCGGAGTGCTTCCTCGCCGTGCCGAAGGAACCGTACAAGCGGCGCATCTCAGCTTCGTCGAAGATCGCGCGGATCTGAGCTGGATCTTCTGGATCTCCGTGTAGGCTGAGAGCCGTCTTGTTGGTTACAGCATATAACGTTAAGAGCCGTTGTCAGAAACCAACACATTGATAATGTAACTGCCTTGTAAACATCACATACACGCGTGTGATCACAGCCCATCGCAACGTGACTCGACATTTCGGCACGATTACACTGACATGGCCAATGAATGTCAACATAGCACGACATGGTCAATCGTAGATGACGACACGGCATGTCGCGCCCACGAGCATTGCACGACATAGTATAGTTGAAATCACACCACTACGTTTCCAACCCTACATCGTTGACGCTTCGCGTATCCCCACCAGCCCATCCAGAAACGATGTACAGGGGAGTTGAGGTGATCAGGGAAGTCGGGGAGCATGCATAATAACAAAGGGCGGGGGGAACTATCACGTACACCAAGAGGGTGAGGACGGAGAAGGCATCCCCGTCGGAGGGGGGGGGGGGGAAGAGGAGGACGAGGAGGATGAGGTGGATAATGATGAGGAGGATGGATTAGGGAGAGGACGATGAGGACGAGAAGGAGGGGGGGGAGCAGAGGGATGATAAGGAGGAGAAGGAGGATAATGAGGAGGAGGAGGAAGAGGGGAATGATACAGTGAAGAGGACGGCAAACCGACGAGCAAGAAACGTATTACATGAATTTCTGAGATCCTCTTAAGGCTCATTGTGGGTCCCTTGTGAGCCTCTTGGGGGCCTCTTGGGCGCCTCGTGGGGCCGTCTGTACGCCTCTTGGGGCGCTCTCGGGGCGCTCTCGGGGGCTGTAGGGGCGCTCGCGGGGCCATCTTGGAGGAGATCGATCGACGAAGGCGATCCCGAATTAGCCCCCCCCCCTCAGGAACCCCAACCATCGCCTCTTGGGGCGCTATTGGGGCGCTATTGGAACGATCGTGGGCGCTCTTGGGGCCGCGTTGGGGCTCGCTTGGGCCTCTTGTGGGGCCCTTTTGTGCCATAATGGAGCCGTCTTGAGGCCTTGGGTGGTCGTCGGGAGCAAAACGGCGAGAAAGCAAACCAATGATGTTCTTAAGGTTTCGGGGCGAGTTTGGCCTCTTCGGGGCCTCCTTGGGTAGCTCTTTGGCCACGTGAAGCTGTCTTGGGGCAGTATTGGGGCATCTTGGAACATCTTGGGAACCATCTTACGTGATCTGGCGCTATCTTGAGACATATTGGAGGTTATCTTGGGCTCTCTGACGCGCCCTTGAAGCCATATTGGGGCCAACAGAACCGTCCGACCGATCGCGAAACCCTCCGTCCAGGTCCAGGGGGGGGGGGCAGGGGGGGAGTAAACCCCTCCCCAAGCAATGGGGACGAGGGAGGGGTGGAAGAAGATATGCGCCCAGAGGGCTGGTGGGATTACGACGCGATCACCGCATGCTGCGATCCGACAGTTCGACGCGCTCATAAACAATGATATGTCAAATCGGGTCCGATGCAGTTCTTGTCGCTTCTCGAAGCTTTTGCCCTCGCACATGGCCACCAGCTTCGCGAGCGCCCTCCTGGGAGCCACGCGCGAGAGGGGATGCGGTGGGCGGGTGGGAGCAGGAGGATGGCGAGGCAGACGATGACGAGGGCGAGGGCGAGCACGGGTACGGGGGGGGGGGGGGGGGGTGCGATTGGTGAGGAGCGGGGGGGGGGGGGGGGGGGAGGGGTCTGACGAGGACGATTAGCACAGTGAAACCATATATGGAACTCGATACTATAGGAGAAGGATGATGAAAATACATCGGCGGGGGATGAGTAAGAGGATTGGCGGGGGGGGGGGGAATAGGAACGACGGCCAATACTAATAATATGAGGACGGGGACGACGAGTACGAGGATGTGCACGGAGGGATTGCGAGGATGAGTATGAGGGGATCATGTATTTACAACGAGAGGGTCCCTTTGTCGCTGAACGGCACGATGTCTGTAGTCGTTGCAGCGGCAGGCTTGCGCTTGAGCACGGTGTCCTCTCGGAGCGAAACGAGTGCGCGTGTGCGCATGGGAGGGGGTGGGACTGGTAATGATGTCAGTATATATGTCAGAAATACGTAACACGTAGTATGTGAGTGAAATATGAATATTTAAACACATCATATCCTTCTTCACGAAACTGCTCTTCTTCTTGGGCGCCATCCCCAGCTCCCAGTCGAAGATCACGCACGCAGGCGCGAACCAGCTCGGCGCTCGAGCCAGCTCGCCATGGAACCATCAATCAATCATCATGTTATGCGGCACTAGCTATCATCACGCTCAACTGGTCATGTGCGCGTCGGCTATCATCGCACCCATGGTCGCAAGCTATCACCGCGCCCAGGCTGTCACTTGAGCGTCAATTATCATCGCGCCACCAGTGTTAGTTGTGATGGGCGGTGGTTATATTCACGCCAGTGTCGCCACTGCGACGGATAGTTGATTGTCGACATGCATATGACATATTACCGACCGTCGGACATGGTGTGTACATTGCCATTACCCGCACCAACTGACCGCATAACTACAATATCAACTTGGAGGGATATGTACACATGAACTGTCGTCACGCGACCGTGCCCACATGCTATACGCGTCGATTTGAAATCTCACCCACTCTAAGCTGCATATGTCAGATCGATATGTAGACATCGATATGTGAATTATGTAGGCCGAACCAGAATTGTAATAACCGTTAATATGTCTACACACCATACACATGGTTCGGTGTGTCTGAAGTTTGTCTGACGTTTGTCAAACGTTTCTCTGACGTTTATCTGAAGTTTCAAACTTCAGAATAACTTCAGAGAATTCTCTGAAGTTTCTCTGAAGTTTCAAACGTCAGATAAACTTCAGAGAAACGTCTGACAAACGTCAGACAAACTTCAGATCCAATAGTTACACGTTAAACGTGCATGTGTATATAAACTGATTTGGAGTATGGTATATGTGTTTACAATATGAAAGTGTTGACGACTCGCGTGCCCCCCACCAGCCCATCCAGAAACGGTATCAATGTGAGTTGAGGTGAGCAGGGACGTCGAATAACATGCGTAATAACAAATGGCGGAGGAAGGTGTCATGTACCCCACGATGTGGAGGATGTAGACGGACTCCTCGTCGGAGGGGGAGGGGGATGAAGCGGAGGATGTGGATGATGAGGATACTGAGGAGGATGTGGAGTGGGGAGATGACGATACAGACGATACGGATGAGAGGGAGCAGATGGAGGAGACGGATGCGAAGGATGATGAGGAATCGGGGGATGCGAAATTGAAGAGGACGGCGAACCGAAGAGCCAAACGCGTATCAAATACATTTCGGAGCGTCTTGGGGGTCTCGTGGGAGCCTCTTGGATGCCCCTTGGGTGACTCTTGGGGCCGTCTGAGCGCCTCTTGGGGCGCTCTCGGGGCGCTCTTGGGGGCTACATGAGCGCTCTTGGGACCATCTTGGATGAGATCGGTCAACGAATGAGGGTTTCCTAATTGGCATCCACCTCATGAGCTCCAACCATAGCCTCTAGGTGCGCTCTTGGGGCGACCTTTGATCGCGATTGTGCGCTCGTGGGGCCGCCTTGGGGCTCTATTGGGCCTCGTGCGGGGCCATATTGGGCCATATTGGAGCCATCGTGAGGCATTCGATGACCGTCGGACGCGAAACGGGGATAACACACCACACATTGATTTTCTTCAGGTTATGTGACGATGTTGGTCCCTTCGGGGCCTCATTGGGGAGCTATTTGGCAACTTGGGGCAGTCTTTGGGCCGCCTTTGGGCATCTTGGAACATCTTGTGAACCATCTTAAGCGATATTGCGCTATATTGAGCCATATTGGAGATTATGTGGACTCGTTGAGAGGGCTGGTGGGATACACCGCACGCATTATATGTGTAGTAGTGTGTTGATGCTAGGGGCCAATCGTGGTGATGGGTGATGACATGCATGGCAAACGCAGAATACCATGACACCACTATCAGGATTGTGATGATGCATTCTGAGTATACACTCTGATGTCAGTGGGTGCTACCCGCGCTGCGATGCACAGGACCACGGCCGATCGGGGTGCGGGGTGCAATCCTTGCATGGATCGCCCCAAAAGCTTAGACCATATCTGCTCAGACGCACGTCACATCACACGTTCCCGTTTCCACCCCCTCATCATCATTCATCATTTCCCCTCACTAATCATATTTGCACCTGAAATTTGTCTACGACGTGCCCAATCTCTAGAGCTCAGCGATGCTTGCGCTTGAGAACCGTGCCGCGCTTGTCGCCCTTGCGGACTGTGCCGCGCTTGTCGCCCTTGCGGACCGTGCCGCCCGTGTCGCCCATGCGGACCGTGCCGCCCTTGTCGCCCGTGCGGACCGTGCCGCCCTTGCTGGCCGTGCCGCCCTTGCTGACCGTGTCGCCCTTGCGGGCCGTGCCGCCCTTGATGACCTTGTCGCCCTTGTGGACCGTGCCGCCCTTGTCGCCCTTGCGGACCGTGCCGCCTTTGTCGCCCTTGCCGACCGTGTCGCCCTTGCCGACCGTGTCGCCCTTGTCGACCGTGCCGCCATTGCGGACCGTGTCGCCCTTGCGGACCGTGCCGCCCTTGATGACCGTGCCGCCCTTGATGACCGTGCCGCCCTTGTCGCCCTTGTCGTCCGTTGGCGGCTTCCAGCGCCACGTCTCAATCACTTCGTTCGCCTGCCAATTGAGGCCGATGAGGTGACCCACCCACCCTTGGTCAGTAGTATGCGTGTGCCACTTTTTGAGCTCCGTGAAGCATTTCAGGGCGGGCTGGGACGGCGTCCTGGGTGCCATCTCTGGCAATGATCTCGGGCTGAGCGATGATCTCGGGCTGAGCTAGGTGTGATCTCTGGCAATGATCTCGGGAATCGCTTGAGCCCTAATTGTGACGGCCAGTTGGTACCATGATGATATGTTCATGACGAAATCGTATACATGAACATGCATTGTTCTACATATTACACATTCCACAATGTTGTATGCAGATTGGTTCGACATTGAGATGGTGAGGGGTGGGATGGAGATGTGCGGGGTGGTGAATATACGGGGATGGAGAATGGACGTGCAAGAGGCATGGATGCGGACGGTGATGTTGATGGAGAGGGGTTATATGAGATTAGGGTGGGGATGTGAATCACCATTCCATTAGTGGTGCGTGTATTGTATGCCCGATGCCCAATCGTGCTGATGATGGATGACTGGCTAACACTCTCCCCTGAACCTGGCCACGTGGAACGCAATCTGACGGGGGATTCATTATCTTCGAACAGAGGCAATGTGTGCGCATGGGTGACACACGTCAATATCTGATATCTCAGCCACCACCTCCTACCCTGAAAATAATGGCGCCCTTGCGCCGAATATTGAAACCCGACGTCGCTCATTATAATCATTCATCAGAGCGGAGTTGCAAGCGTGCCCTCCCCAAGGACATCTATGATAACGAAGCGAATTTCCCTAACTCATCTCACTACCTCATGAGCGAGTCGCGAAACTGAATGGTGGATTTCTTATCCAGAGCCTTCTTGCAGCTACGAACCATCACATCACGAAGCGCAATGTCGTGGCGACCGAATTTCTTGCCCGTGCATTCCACAAGAAGCGTTTTTTTTGATGACGTATCATCTGGCCTGTACACACAATATGATTTATCCTTAGCATACACTGCATACAGCTCACCGTAGAGGGGGTGACTGGCTCGGCGGGGGAGGTTGTGCGACACAAACTGCGAGCACACTGGATCAGAAGACGAACCCGCCTTGCCGAACGACTTTTTGTCGCCCTTCTTGGTGCGTTTCATCACGGTTGTGGCCTGCTTCTCAACCTCGCACGTATCATCATCATCATGTTCATCCATGCCGTACTTGGCGAAGTTGATCTCTGCCTGGAGGCATATCTACCGAACAGGGGACTCGCCATCGTCATCATCGACGCAGTCGTTGTCGCACCTCCTCCTCCTCCTCCTCCTCCTCCTCCTCCACCACCTCCTATTCATCCCGAACAACATCTCGGAGCCCAGAGTTGCGAGGATGTCTCCAGCGCAACGGGCTGGACCACCTCGCGCGCGGCATTTCGGACCCCAGAGTTGCGACGATGTCTCGGGCGAAACGTGCTGCGAGGAAGTCTCAGGCGAAACGAAAAAAGTGGTGCCTTCAGCTGCTGCTTCCGAGTTGGCACGGCCGTGTAGGTCTTCGCCATGAGCAACAACTTATCCTCGGATTTGGGCGGGGTCGTCTTGGGCGGGATCTTCTTCTTGGGCGGCGTCACCGTGGGTGTGGCATCCACAGGCACGACCTTCTTGGTGGACTTCAGCCAGCGCCCCAATGCCTGACAAGACCGAGGCGACATCAAGACTCGGTCGATTCCTGCACACTCCGCATCTCGCCCTAGCCCGCTCAACCCCACACTCATTGATCGGGATATGACCTGCAACGTCTAATCAGAATTTGACACCGCGCAAGTATCTTTGCACCACACAGATCTCAAGCCACAACGCACGTCGCACGATTACCGATACGACATAACGACGCCCACTTCGTCTTCCCGCCACAGTCGGATGACATAGACACAGAATGTGCAGCCATAACATGATTGCGACCATAACCATGTGCAACCATAACATAACGTGCAACCAAAACAACCATATAAACATAAGGTCCAACCAGTACTTAATGTGCAATTATAGCATAATGTGCAACCATACACGTCATCAGTGTGCTTATCACCATTGTTTTCACCACCATCTATGTATGATGTGTCGCCCTCGGCTTGTCATCAGTTTTCGCCGCCCTTTGTGTCGTACCCCATACATACCACCATTCACGTCTTTCATATAATCGTAAAGTACAAATGATGGTGAATGGTGATTGCAATTAATGATCGGTGGTCGTGAATACCTGATGGTACACGCGTGTGAATGATGAGCGGTCGTGAATCTATGATGACCGTAATGATGCAAGATCGTGGTTGGTGAGTGTGCAGATGATGAACGATAACGAACGATCGATAGGAATCATTTGCCAGTACGCACGGGCAACCCATTCAATCTGAATCCATGTCCATATCTGATACGATATGTCCCAAATCACATTCGATAGAATGTGTCGCACACCTGCTGTCGACCGTGACCGTCCACCCCGCCTCATAAGTTGAGTCATTTCGAATATCTGCTGAACGCACTAGAATCGAATACCGAATATACGTTGGCGGTTACGTCGTCATCGAATACCTGCTGACATCATCAGACTTTCAGCCACTTTGCCATGGCAGTAATCTCGTCATCTGGAATATCAGCTGAAGCGCCTGCCGAATGAGCTGATGAACTGCTTGCTGAAGTGCCTGCCACACGTGTTGCCGAACTGCTTGCTGAAGTGCCTGCCGACGGTGTTGCTGAACTGCTTGCTGGAGTACCCGCCGAAGGCGATGCTGAAATGCTTGATGGCATAACCGTCGAAGGTGTTGGTGAACTGCCACTTGGCATAATATATTCCTTCGCAATGTCCGTGTACGAGTACGCCGAAGACGAAAGGCCCGCAGACCAGCTCGCTGAAGTCGGTGGCATCGAACCAGTTGGTGACGCCGCCAGTGAACTAGCACCAGTTGGTGAATCTGGTGCAATATCAGCTGGTGGAATTGAACCAGTTGGAGTAGCTGCACTGGAATCTGGAGTCTTGGACATAATTCGCCGCCGCTTAATTGGTGTAGCATCTGTCCCATCATCAGTCGCAGTCTCAGCATCAGACGGAGGAGCGAACCTCATGAATGATATCATGCTTTTCTGGCGGTTCAGAACATGCGAGCGGTGCAAGTTGTTGACGACACCGCCGATGATTTCGAAATACATGGTCATTGCCATCGAGTTCTTTTTGGCCTCCAATGGTCCAATCAAGATTTCCATGTGATGATGATGATGATGATGTTGAACATGATGATCTAAAACCATCCTGATCAACATCATCGTCATATGGAAATCTCGTTTAGAACCAATCGCGGCCCGCTCCAGCTCTCTGAACTGTGCGTCGCCGTGATATATATTGATCTCCTTGATGCGGTTCTCAGCGTTGATGATCCAACTCCGAGTCATGAGCGTCAAAATTAAACTGATGAGTCGTTCTGTATACTGAAACGTCCACAGCATGGTAGACGGGGGGTGCTGCCAGACGACGTGCACCTTCAGCGCAACATGGTAGGCGACGGGCGCTGTCAGACGGGGGGAAGCGTTGGGAATTGGGGGGGGGGGGGGGGGGGGGGGGGGGGGGGGGGCAGTGGAGATGAGACATGGAAATGCGGAGAGGGGGAAGGGGTCAGGAGGGTGGCGAGGGGAAGGGCAGAGAGGGGGAAGTGGGGAGTGGCGGGGGGGGGGGGGGGGGGGGTGGAGAGGGTGGCAGTGGCGGGGTGGGGAATTGGGGAGGTGGAGATGGGGGAGACGGATGGGTGGAGAGGGGGAATGGGGGATGGTCAGGAGGGTGCCAGGTTGGGCGGACGATGCGGACGAGGATGACAAGGGGGACGAGGAGGAGGATGAGGAGGACGATGAGGATGAGGAGAGGCGGAGGATGAGGGAGGTGGAAGAGGCGGGAGGGGGATGAGGGAGGATGATGGAGGAGGAGGTGGAGGAGAAAGAGGGGGGCAGAGGATGAGGAGGGTGAGGGTATGTGTGGGCATACGTTGATGATACACACCTTTCTGGGCCACATGATGACAGACAAGGTACACCACTTCATGACCTCGGAGTTGGCCTCGCGAACTGGAAATAGGCCATCGTCACCTTGTGGGTTACCTTTCCATCTCAATTGGTGCGTACATAGCCACGTTCTTATATCAGGCGATATCCACGCTGTGCCACCAGCGACTACTCTCATACATAAACGAAATATAGTTTCGAATCCAATCAGCCGCCTGATATTCATGTATGGTCCATATTGGGAATCCAGAATCATAGTTGGGCCACTAGCTTGGGCTGCAGCTGCAATATCACCTGCATCAGGGCGACACTCCAGAAGAACGAGGTCGCGGTCATCAGGCATATATAAGAAAATGATGGGGATAACGTGTTCGACCAGTTTCCACACCACGGTATATTGAGGCGCCAATAGTTTAGCAAAACGGTGGGGACAAAATCCTCGCGCATCGTACCATTTCTGGGAATGGTTCATGTCGACGGCAGCAGGCCTGAGGATGCGAAACGCACGGCCGAGCAACCCCACGCTCGGGCCAAAACTGGCTACGCACGGCACGGACACGACGGACGTGGAAGAGGGGGGGCAACAAGGTGAGGCGATCGACGGGGGGGAGCGCTGTTACCGACGCACACCACCGCGCGTTGGCGGGCAGGCCGCGAGGCGCGAGACGAGGCATTATCGCGCCCTTCGGTGCTGCCGCGCGGGGGGGGGGGTGGGGTTTGAGGCCCAGAGGCCAGATTGCTTTGCCCCGCGGGAGTTCGGGCACGCGAAACGCGTGTAACTTCGCGCCCCCTCGTCGCCCTTCCGAGGCGCGACGCGCTGCTACCATCGCGCCATGGCTATGGAAAGCACGCATTTGAGGACGTGTGAACAATTAGCCTGGCAAACGACACAACCATACGCAGCTGTGAATACTGCAACTATGAATATTGTGTTCGGTGGCGCTACCCCTGGGTAGGGCAGACGCATGCGAACACCCCCACTGGGGCCTTCGGTGGAGCTCCCTGTGGGGCTACGAAGCGCTACCCTGGGTGGGGGGACCGCACGCGGGCGCCCCAACTGGGGCCTTCACACGCTGCCCTAGGTGGGGGAACCGCATGCGGACACCCCCCCACTGTGACCTACAGTGGAGCTCCCTCTGGGGCTACGAAGCGCTGCCCTGGGTTGGGGACAGCCCCGCTGGCGCCTACGGTGGAGCTCCACCTGGGGCTACGAAGCGCTGCCCTGGGTTGGGGAACCGCAAGTGGCCACCCCCACTGGTGCCTACGGTGGAGCTCCTGCTGGGGGCTACGAACTGCTGTCCTGGGTGGGGGAACCGCATGTGGACGCCCCCATTGGGGCCTTCGGTGGAGCTCCCCATGGGGCTACGGCACGCTGCCCTGGGTGGGGGAACCGCATGTGGACACCCCCGCTGAGGCATTCGGTGGAGCTCCATCTGAGGCTACGACGCGCTGCTCTGGGCGGGGGGACCGCATGTGGACACCCCCATTGGGGCCTTCGGTGGAGCTCCTGATGGGGGCTACGACGCGCTGCCCTGGGTGGGGGAACCGCATGTGGACACCCCCGCTGGGGCCTACAGTGGAGCTCCCTATGTGGCTACGAAGCGCTGCCCTGGGTTGGGGGAACCGCATACGGACAGCCCCACTGGCGCCTACGGTGGAGCTCCACATGGGGCTACGAAGCGCTGCCCTGGGTTGGGGAACCGCAAGTGGACACCCCCACTGGTGCCTACGGTGGAGCTCCTGATGGGGGCTACGAACTGCTGTCCTGGGTGGGGGAACCGCATGTGGACGCCCCCACTGGGGCCTTCGGTGGAGCTCCATATGGGGCTACGGCACGCTGCCCTGGGTGGGGGAACCGCATGTGGACACCCCCATTGGGGCCTTCGGTGGAGCTCACTATGGGGCTACGCAGCGCTGCCCTGGGTGGGGGAACCGCATGTGGACACCACCGCTGGGGCATTCGGTGGAGCTCACTATGAGATTACAAAACGCTGCCCTGGATGGGGGAACCGCATGTGGACACCCTTACTGGGGTCGTCGGTGGAGCCCCCCATGAGGTTACGAAACGTGCGAGAGGTGTGCCGAGAGCAGAAGCAATGATGGGGGAGGAGGGAGGAGGGGGATGAGGGCGGGAAGGAAGGAGAGGAACGCTGGGCGCCGTCCCTTCAAAACGAGGACCCAACACCACGGGATGGGCGGGAAAAAACACAGATGATGGAGTTTGGAGGTGATGATGAGGGGGGCGACGACAGGATGACACGGGAGGTGGGGCGACACGGACGGGAGGGAGGGCGCGGAACATGGGAAGCGGGATAGGGCGCGACGAGGGAGCGACGTGAGGGATGACGACGGAAGGATGACGACGGTGGGGGCGACGATGAGGCGACGCAATGGAGGACGACGGAAGGAGGATTGCGGCGGGGGCGACGAGGGGGGCGGGATGGAGGCGGGTCGTTAGAGGAACTTTGGAGAGGATTTGGGAGAGGAATTTTGGAGTGAGCAAGGGGGGAGGGGAGGATGACGGGAGGAGGGAGAGCGGGAGGGGGTGCGGAAGAGGGGAGGGAACGTGAGATGGGGGGAGGGGGAGGAGGGAGGGGAGACAGGAAAGTTGTGGAAAGGAGGGTGAGGGGAAGCACCGAATGAC